CTCTCTGCCTTTCTCTTTGGGTTTGTTCTTGCTGTTGGCTTCAGCCCTTTATCTCTATTTTCTTAAGCTCTCTTTATTTTGTTCTTAACTGGGGGAAAAATAATGCGTGACTTATGCTTGAATGCTGCTCCAGAATGAGTAGTCCTCATTACTGAACATGGTCACAGTCCTGTGATCGGGAGGAATTACCTTTTTTTTTTTTTTTTTACATTTTTGATTAATTTAATGAGCCTGAAACCCAAACATCTAGCCTGCTGAATATCTTTTCGCTGAATGTGAAGTAGAGTGCCGCATTCATCTTGAGATCTATTTACTTAATTGTTCATTTTCTGATGTCTTCTCACCGTGTTGATTCATGTTTCATTCAACAGGCCAGCTGGGAATATTTGTTCTGCTGACAGTGTTTGGGTTTCTTGAGAGGTCACATTGTGTTCTTTAAAAAACAAGGTGAAAACAAAAATTACTGCTCTGAGCTATCATTTCAGGCCTACTTCAATAAAACCTTTGAGTGAACCGCAATTTACGAGATCTCTCAAACCACATCTTTTTTGTTAAGAAATAAAGAGCAGATGGTGATTTTTCAACCCTGGAATTTTCTGAACCCATTTCAGTCCCTGTTGAATAGATCCCACGCTCAGTCTTGTTTCTCCCATGGCTTTTCCTCCACAAAAGCCTTCAAACTGTCTGAAACAATGTGACTGCTTTTCTCACAGACATTATCATTGCTGACCTGAAGTCAGAATTGCCAACTTGAGCATTGTACGACCTAAAACCCTCTATGGTGACAATACGATTTTTTGGCCGGTGGGAGCAGGATCAAACAATGTTCTGCTTGATCTAGTTCCAGTGTTCCTCCATGGTTCTAATGGATTGGGATAGGATTGGGTAATGTGACCCCTGAGCAGTGGCGGAAGAACAAGGCCAATCAGGATTTGATGGCGGTTGTATGTTATCCTCTTGGGGATTTGAACTCCCCCACATCCTGTTTCTTGATGTCCGCTTTGTGCTGCTTGAAAAAAAAAAGACAAACTGTCAATGGAAGAAAAGGAGGAATTAAACAGTATCCTGTGCCTGAAATTTGAAACTCAGCTTTATTTATAGATGCAGCCTAATGGCCTCAGTGTGAAAAACTCCACGTGGAAGTTACCAGATGTCCTTTTCTCCTAATTTATTTTGGGGGTAATAGAGGACCTTGTGTCCCACGCTGCTTACAAAGCCACAACTTAGTAGACATCTTTAATCTAATGGTGTTAATTGTAGCCAGAAAAGACAGCTATCTTAATAGAATAAAAGAAGCTGTTCAATAGCACAGGGAGGCTGGTTCAGGACATTATTTATGCACACCGTTGTTAATGTCTTCTTGGGTTTGGATGAAGAACATTTCATGTTGCTTTTTATCTGTAACGTGTTCAGATAAAGCCACCACAAAAGACAGCAGCTTTTTGATTTGGAACGCAGCCAGAATCACATCTGATCTTGAGCCAGAGGGAAGTCTGCTCCGAGGTCTGTCTTGATGCCCTGCTATGTGGAGCGTGCCACTGTGTGCATTCAAATGGCAAGCCATTAACACAGCTACATCGCCTCAGGTGAAGAGGACACGCTGTGAGAAAGAAAAAGAGAAAACACATTTAACATTATACATCTGGTATTTTATGCATTTTTAATTTTTCAGTTCTTCCTCTTAATTTGCCTTTAAACAAGACAGTATAGCAGTTGTTCCATGCTTCAGTGAGATCTAAATATAGTCTCCTTTGATCAGATCGACAGCCCAGTGAGAGAGCGTGTATTTGCCTGTTGTGTTGTTATTTTAATAAAATTTGAATAGCACTTGCATACCAGAGGTGAATTTCAAGTGAATTTGAAGCTACTGTAATAAAGAAGCATGATAAAGCAGGTTTTTATTAAGAGACAAAAAGGGGAAATGAGCTGGACCATGTGTTGGGGTGTGTGAATGGATTCTTGTCAACTTCTGAATAACAAGTTTCCTTGAAAAAAAAACATTTGTGCAATTCCAATAATTGCATAATTGGATTACTTAATTTCCAAGCAATTCTGTCACAGCCTGCAGTCAGTGAGTTGTCCAAAACAAGCACCGTGTATTGACTACTCACTGTGTCAGGAATTGATTACATGGCTACCCACAGGAAATTATTAGCTTTGTCCATAGTGAAGTGTAAAGGTTTTGCTACCTGATGTGTGTTTGTCTTTGTCCCTACATGAACCCATCCACAAGACACTGCGGTTATTAAACCACAGACACTGGATTACACTTAATGAAGTTCTGTGTCATATGTCCTTTCAAATAAGGCAGTAATAATCTGCTGTGATACAGACACATATTGCATCTGTCTCTATCTATACATCACTGCAGTGACATTCTTCCTCCTCAAACTTCTACTACGATGCTGCTCTTTTGATGATGGATCAAAGCCTCCCAACAAGAAGTATTGTCACATGGCAAGGTTCAACAGACACTTCAAATAAGGTGCACAATTGATGATAGACAGTTCCCCCCTTCACTTAGCGATCAACATGAACCCTTTCTACACCCGATTAGATAAAGGCAACAAACACACACAGTGGTCTTTTCTTACAATTTCTGAACTGGAAAACAAGCTGTTGTGAAATGATTGGCAGCCATTCATCATCCATCCAGGTTTAATAGTTCATAATTAGGGCTCAGGAGATTTAAGAGATCATCTCAACACCCCTCGCAGTTAGCTGATTAATCTGGCACATATTTGTTGGGATCAATCGATTCTCAATGGCCGTTCTCCAGACTTAAATCTTGCAGTGAATTGAGGTTGCTAATTATGGTCTTTATAGACTTTTCAAGGCTACACTGACACTACGAAGAATATTTCAGGTATACACAGTTCATGAAACATTTTACAGTTGTAAACAAGCATCAGGGGTTCCCTTCTTTTGTTCGTGGGAGAAATCCTTACGGTGCACAGGAAGTTGTCAATTTTATTCTTGTTAAAGCGGGAAACATCAGCTTGTTTACTACTAACTAACTACTTTAGTACATATTTTTTCTATTTTCACTGAGAACCAAATTCAAAAGCATAGTTACTGTCTTTATCAGATTCAAAAAGTGAGCAGTCCTATTATGTACCATTGTAACTAAACTGAAAGAAGCATTTGAGTGAGAGATTAGAAAGACTGATTTACTGTGTGTTTTTCAATCAATCCAAGAAAGCTCTAATAAGTATTTAAGATGATAATGATGAATGCTGCACACGGACTGCATTGTTAAAATCTGAATGCAGCTCTGTAATAGTGAGTTGTCTCAGTTTGTTTTTTGATCTCCAGCAGTTTTTCCAAGAGTAGATTCTTACAGGAAGCAAAAAAGTCTGTTTAACAGGGGCAGTGAAAACAGCAGGGAAGAAGACAGTAAGAAGATTTTCTCTGCAAGTAGAGTTTCATGCTGAGTGTTGATGGATAATGTATTGTTCACCATGTAGGGAATTGTTCCAATAAGGTGGGAAAAACTACAATGTGGAGAAAAGAATTAGTCCTGAAACATGGTGTGTTTTTTAGAGGCGTTTTGTCAAAGGGGTTCACAGCCCTCTCTAACAAGATAACGTGTCAAACTGTTTCCTCTGTGGATGACTCGCCTGGGCTTATCATCTTTCCATATTTCATCAGTAGCCTAGAGCCGACTTTAACTGTTTTCTTTGGGTTTTTGCTCTCTGTGAATGAGAATTATGGTCCCGTAAGAATGCTGAGTTTCCAGGAAAGCATACATGCTTGATGAGGCTTATCCAAACACAGGGGCAAAGTGCCTCTTACAGTGTTGAAAAAGAAAAACATAGATTTACTTTAAAATGGGATTATGCTGCATGTAAGCAGAGAACCAGAGAACAAAGTATACAATGGTGTTCATCAGAAATGGGTGCATACAAAGTAACGTACGCACTAGAAAGCAGTGTCACGTTTAGCAAAATACAGTGGAAAGAAATGGTAGAAGAAATCAGGAAATGAAAATCAATTTTAACCTGCTGACAGTGTAAACAAACCTCTACAGAACATCTGTGAAACAAACATGAAAGAATTTGGAGTCATCAACATAAATGGGCAGTACAATGACAAGAAAGGGAGTGATATTACAGTGTGTTGAAGAGGAATTTAGATTCCTCTGCTCTGCTAGAAGATCACTTGTGGCAGTACTATGGCCAACCAGCTTGCTTGATCAGCAGGTCAGGACTATGTGTATCTCTGCACCAGCTTTAGTGCTTTTTTATCAAGTGGTTTTACTGGCAAATATGGAATTTGTTGCAAAAAAAAGCCTTATAAGTATATATGATTGTTGAAAATAATTTAAAATACAGACAGAACATTGTATAAAAAGTTCCCTAAATATCAGGAAAACTGCTGCATTAATCCAAATCCCTTGTTTTACACAAACTTCCTGCAGTTATTATGTTGGGTTCACTGAATATAATTTGAAATATCCGTAAAATGAGTCAGTTAGTTAGGGGTCTTCAGTTTACTCAATGATAGAAATGGAGTCCCTTAAGGAATAAGGTTGGGAAATACTGCTTTAGAGCATTCTTTGTAAAAGCCTCAGTCCTGATAAAATACACTTATTTTCACATACAGTGTATTGATTTACCAGTCCTTATCATCAGTCATACTATACTGTGTGAGTTATAGAGTGTTAAGCTTTAAGTAGATTTCTCAAAGGTTGCTGCTGCTGGGGCACGCACCCTCCTTGGTAGGTGGCCAGTAGCCCTTAGAAACACCACACTGCAAAATAATCTTACTTTTTTCCAGTTCAGTGAGTCAAGAGCACTCTGGCTGGGTGCCCCCCCAAAATGAAGCAAAAGCCCTCAGACACCTATCATCCACTCCATTTCATCACTGAAACTTTGTTTGCTGCACATATTGAATGCTGAAGAGGACTCCCGCACTTGGGTAATCAGGCAGGAAAATAAATGTGCAATTTGAATAGAGTTATATCTAATGGCGTACCTGTATTTCTGTGCATGTTTCAGATGGAAAGGTGGAGGTGACGAAGGAGAGCCTGAAGCTCTGCACCATGGGGCCGGGAAAGGTGTTTGGAGAGCTGGCTATTCTCTACAACTGCACCAGGACAGCCACTGTCAAGAGTGAGTCTCCACAGACACCTGGAAAAACATCCAAAGTGCTCACATGAGTCTGTGCTAAATGTACACTGGAAATGTGTGTCACATTCACACACACAAACACCCACACACACACATTAAAATCTGTTCCCTTGGTGTGGAGCATTAGGGGTCTTTCTGTCTGTAACATATCAGTTCTACGTCGACACAGAGACAGCGATCGCACTGCGTTACTGCATGAATGGGGAACACAGCGGTCATGATGAAACACTACCCATCACTGCTCTCTGTTTTCACAACACTCCAGTTAAGTGTTTTGCGAGACCCCCAGTGAGCTGAATGTCAAGGTTTACTGCCTCTTCTCTTTCATGTGTCAAAAGCTCCAGCAATGAAGGATGCACAGTGGGTGAGTAGGTGGTCTATCAGACTGGCGATTTGAATTGTCAGCCTAATAGAGTAAGGAGAGGAAACTGAGAAAGGACAGATGGTGTACTACGCACATTTGACACCTAGTGTGTTGTAAGAGAGTGTGTCAGGCTGAGAAATGAGTGTTTATGTGAAGAAGGAAATCGGAAATAGCTGGAAATGTGTCTTTGGACAGAATAATAAATAGACAAAAGGTGAGATGAGATAAGGTCTGGTGGGTGAAGGTGTTTCTGTGTATGTAAATGCAGTTCAAATTAAAATAAATGAATGTAGGTCAGTGTCTGAGTGAGTGCTCCAGTTGATACTAAAGAACATACTTGGTCTTAACTCACTATAACCACTATTGACCTGGCAAAATAAGTCCACACACTGCGAGCAGGCTGATTTTTCTCTGCTCACGATGAAGATCTATGTGTGATCCAGGTATGAATGAATGCATGAAGGGCACGAAGGCGGTCCCTCGGGGCCGCGGGCAAGGGCGAGGAGGCCTGAGTTGAGAGAGTGGAGGAAACAGTGTTGATGATAATGGCAGCGAGGTTGCACGCACCTCGCTGGCCCCTTTCATGTCCCATGATCCCCTACCACTGACCAGCCAACCTGACGGAACTCCCAGCTCCTGTTACTATGGCAACAGGTGCCCACAGGGAGATGAGGCAACTCTTATGGGATAAAATATTCCCTTTACCACAGGCGACAGAGTGTCTGTCTTCTTCTTTTGTATATTCTTTCCACTTAAGACCACCGGACTGTACTTCCTGTCACAGTCTTTTGAAGTGTACGTCAGTGCTTTGCTGCTTAATAAAACCTCTGCATGGAACAAGTGATGTAATTGTCTACATTGGAAGAAGTGTGTTTACAGCCTAACAGGGTCACTGGCACAGGGTGGATGTCTTTGGTTTAATGCCTCTACACAGGAATGTACAGAGGAATTCAAGTGCCAGATAGGATACTTGAGCCTCCACTGGAAATCATGAATCTACCTGATGAGTGCTCGTGAGAGTTCAGCTTCCAATCAGCCAATTAAATTTGATCTGTGTGCGGAATCCTGTAGGAGGATATATCCTCTGTGTAATTTCAATTTACTTTGCATGGTCTCCTAAGTCATACGCATAGGAGTAATTATGTCTTGGCAGAATTTAGATGATGAACCTGCTAATGTGGAGGAGCTCATACATAAAAGTGTGTACAATATCTCCCCACAGTCCTTCAACAGCGAAGTTAACTCACAACATAATGACATTATTGCTAATGAGGAGATTATTGGAGTTTGTCACCTGCTGAGAAAATTTAGAAACAATTAAGAGCCATTATGTGCAATGATTTGGAGACAGTACTTTGAACACAAACACGACTAAGACCAATCGAGAACTTAAGGTCACCATAGAGTCTTTAGGTAGCTGACACAATGATGAAATTTCCAGAAATCCTTTGGAACAAATGTTCAAAAATTTGAGACACTCCATTTATGAGTAATAATTAGTTCCAGTGAGAGTAAAATAGGCTTGAAATGTTGTAGTCCAGCTGCTTTTAGTCTTAAAGCACCGTAACATTGATATAATCATTTATCCAATTTACTTTAGATTGAATTTATTTTCAATTAGTGCCAACATTTCCAAAGCGTACAGTCTTAGATTCTTCATTACACCTTTCCTATCGTCCAGGCATCAATTTGTTTCTATTAATTTCAAAACATTATGAAAATCCCAGACTAGATTTCGGTAATTCATCACTGTGAGCACAACAAAGGGATAACACGACTCTGAAGCAGACATAATGTTCACTAAGATTGATTAGCAATCACACACTTCATTTTCAGTTTTCTGCTACTTGTTTTTCAAACCACATTGGTATGAAAAGGAAAACAACCTGGAAAGAAGTAAAAACACACTTTGGAAAATGGCTGGCTGCCATGGTAAGAGCACTGTCTATAATTTATAGTAACTTGTCTAAAATATGCAAAATCGTTCATGTAATCGGTTACAACAACAATATACAAACAGAAGGCCCAGTAAAACAAAGAAATAATACACCATATCAACAATGCAGGATTAATTTCTGAACTACGTATTGGCCTATTTTAGACGCGAAGTTTTGATTGACAAAATGTGCAAGCATTCATCCAGTTACACAATTTTATGCAGATCTATTACAGGGATGAGACAAAATTGCAAGCTCTCCCAAATAATACGCGGATTGGTTGAATTTGTATTATTTCTTGCATTTCTATGATTGCAAATTCCTGGAAGGACTGAAAAGGATTCAACATTAATCCTGCCTTTTCAGCTTTCTGTGTGAGCGCTTGCTTGCACTCTCCCAAGAGAAATGAATCCTGTACAGTAAGTTTGCCCTGACTTCGAGTAGCACTTACTCCCAGGCTGTGTAGTGCCCCCAACAAGCTCCTCCAATCAATATGTTAGGTTTGGTTGCAGGATACAGACACTTAAGTGTAGAGTTATGTTCACATTTGGTGTTTGGCTCTGCCAGTCTTGGCAAGTGAGGTAGGATTTTACATGCAGTCTGGGAGAAAAATGTTGCCTGAGACGCAGTTTACAAAAAAGTCCCCTTGCCATCAAATCTATATCACATAATTTTTTGCATGACAACAATCAGCAAGATGCTGGCCAACGAGAGGAAGAATAAAAGGGTGGGAGTGAGACAAAAGAGAGAGGTGATAAATGAAGGACAGCAGTGACAGCAAAATGAGGGAGCCACCTCAAGGGAAGCAAGATAAAATTGGTATTTTTTTGTCTGCAGACAGAGAGACAAGAGAGAGCGACAGTGGGCTTCTGCTCAAAAATATTGTTTTGTAGCATAAAAATGTCACTGTTTTATAAGGAGTTAGACCAGGCATCATAACAGGTTGCAATTCAGCATGGTGTGATGTAAAGCTGTGCAGCTGTTAACAGTGTTAAGCATCATTGTGCCACATGACAAAAGCAGGAAAGTGATCATTTAAAACAATATTACTGACTCAGCCTGTTTCTTAAAAAAATGCCAACTTAAGTAAGCAATGGAATCCAAGCACGTAGTCGCAAACTTCAAAATCATTTAAAGGGTTTCTTGATTGTGGATCTGCAACCACCTTATTATTTTAATTAGTCATTAATCTGTCAGTTATTTTTGCAATCAATTATTGGGTATATAAAATATGAACAACATAAAATGGCTGTTACAATTTACTACCCAAAGATACTCAGTTTCCAACGACATTAAACAGAGAAAAGCAGCAAATTGGAGAAGTTGTGAAAAGGTACTGTATGACATTTTTCCTTGAAACATTAGTTTAAAAGCGATTCATAGATTATAAAAGTATTTGCCAATTAATTTGCAGTTCAGTTCAACAATGAATGCATGAATCATTTCTGCACTACACAATAAAAACGGTCAAAGCACTTTAGGCTCCATAGTTTAATCTAAACTTACTAACAAGCAGTCACTTCTTTTTAAACTTAGTTGCTCTACATGTTAACCAATCACAAAAAGATGTTTGTAATCCTTAAATATTCTACAATGGAAATATAGATTTTTGACATCAGTTAATTTCAATTTATTAACACATTTTTTAATCACATCATGCTCTTTCTGGAAAAGGTCAAGAATGACCTTTCATGTTCAAATAGACCTTTTCCTTATTAGCAAATCAAATAAAAAAAAATGTAAACGTACTTTTCACTGTCGGGAACCCTGACATTGTTTTGGACCAGTCCTCTCTTCGAGACTGAGGTCACTGCCAGTCACTACTAACATAATCAGTGAGACTGATTATCTGTGTGCTCCATCTTAATGATAGTGGTGGAAAAAGCAGTCTCAGACGTCATTGCGGAGACTCAGCTGCGCTCTCAGGTGGGATCATATCTAATTCACATGAATGGTTTAATATTTTAGATTATAAAACTTTGAGAATAATAGCAATGTCATAATTTATTTTGGGAAGTACTGGGCTGCGTTGGAACATTGAAAGGGAGATCCAGACGAGGTGGAGGGGGATTTGCCAGCAGCATGCACACATGCATGCACAAACACACACGTATTTCCCTCTTTTTGTCAGTCTCTGTCACTCACTGTCTCTCACACATGTATAGTGCAGTCAGGTTTGCATTTGTTTTCATGATGATCAATGTCCATGGATTGGCCATTTTTCGTACACTGACACACCTTCCCTTTCACGCTCCCATGCACATTGTAGAATTAGGTTTTAGCTGTTTAAAGGAGCATGGGTCCGCAGGTATTGGGAAAAACAAGCAAAGAAAATGGTAGTATTAAATTGACTGGAAACTAAATGGCGGAGAATTAGAGCTGTAGCATAGCAAACGTGTTTTGCCCACCAAACAAGTCAAAGAGGAAACAATCAGACTGACTCGTGCTAGTCAGAGCGAGCTTAATTTGTAAATTGTCATCACTGTCAGCCTGTAGGTTACTCCATGAATTGAGTGATGGCAATAACCTATTATTTGTTTTAGTTGTTTAGTTTTTTCAATATAGTAAGCATGCTGTCACTGGAATGATTGCATACGATACAAGAATGTTCACGTCACCATATCAGGTCTTTTTGTTTTGTCCTTTACTATATTTTGACATTGTACTGCTGTAGTTCCCAC